GTGGAGCAGGACGCGGAAGTGCAACTCGGAGACCTTGTTGGAAGCTCCGGGGACAGCCTCGGCGCTGACCTGGGCCCCGTCATGGCTCCATGGATGGGCCAATGGTTGTGCACGGAAACGGAAAGAGCGCTGAAGGAACTTGCCCGAGACGGCTCATGGCACCCTTCGCTCTTGGAAGCGTAAATGTTAAGGGCTGGTTACGTCACTGCTCCCCGACCTCCTCTCCTCCTCGTCCTCCTCCTCCTCGTCATCATCATCAGCCTCCTCCATGTCCTCCCCGCTCTCTTCAATCTGCCGCTCCTTCTCTTCCTACACCTCGTTCTCGTCCTTCCTCACCTCGAGTCACTCCCCAGTCCTCCTCATCCTTCGCTCCCCTTCCATCCTTGTCATCAGCATCCCTCGCCACCATTACTTACGCCTCCTCCTCATCATAATGTATGGTGTGGCTCTCGCGTGGCCATCATTGGGCTGTCTTGGGGCCTCGCATGACCCTCTCGGGGTCAGTTTTTGGAGGCATACTGGAAGTCTCTGGGGCGTATTGGGAGGAGTTGTTGGGCCTCTTGGGAGCCTCCGGGGAGCCTTTTGGGGGGCGCTTGGGTGGCCTCGGGGGGCTTCTTGCGGCCTCGTGGGGCCCTCTTGGGGTCCGCTGGGCTCGCTTAGGCAGTCTTAGGCCATGGCGGGGCCCTCCTGGGGCCGTCTTGGGCGACTCCTGCGCCGTCCTGGGGCGCTCTTGGACCGTCTTGGGACGCCTTTGGGGGCGTCTTGGGCCGTCTTGGGCCCGGCTTAAGGGTCTCTTGGGCCGTCCTGGGGCTCTCTTGGGGGCCTCTTGGGCCGTCTTGGAGCGTCGGAAAGCAAAAAAAACAAGAACGCGAAAAACATCGAAAGAACCACTGACAAATCAGCGTTTGTGGCCTCTTGGGGTTCTCTTGGGAGGCCTCTTGGAGGCCGCTTGGGGCGTGTTGGTGGCCTGTGGGCTCGTCTGGAGGCCATGCTGGCGCGTGTTGGAGGCTCGCTGGCCTTTTAGGCAGTCGTCAGGCCATGTTGGGGCCCTCCTGGGGCTGTCTTGAGCGGCTCCTGGGTTGTCTTGGGGCTCACTTGGGCCATCTTGGGACGCCTTTGGGGGCCTCTTGGGTTGTCTTGGGGCCGGCTCAGGGGCCTCTGGGGCCGTCCTGGGCTGTCTTGGGTGCCTCTTGGGCCGTCTGGCAGCGTCGGAAAACAGAAAGCGAGAAGGCAAAACAAATAGAAAAAACAATGAATAATCAACGTTTGTGGCCTCTTGGGGCTCCTTGGGAGGCCTCTTGGAGGCCGCTTGGGGCGCGTTGGTGGCTTCTGGCCTCGTTTGGAGGCCATGCTGGCGCGTGTTGGAGGTCCGCTGGGCTCGCTTAGGCAGTCTTCAGGCCATGGCGGGGCCCTCCTGGAGCTGTCTTCGGCGGCTCCTGGGCCGTCCTGGGGGCCTTTTGGGCCGTCTCAGGACGCCTTTGGGGGCTTCTTGGGCCGTCTTGGGGCCGGCTTAGGGGCCTCTTGGGCCGTCCTGGGGCTCTCTTGGGGGCCTCTTGGGCCGTCTTGGAGCGTCGGAAAGCAGGAAAAGCGAGAAGACAAAAAACATTGGAAAAAACAATGAAAAAACAACGTTGTTTGCCTCTTGGGGCTCTCTTGGGAGGCGTCTTGGAGGCCGCTTGGGGCGTGTTGGTGGCCGCTGGGCTCGTCTGGAAGCCATGCTGGCGCGTGTTGGAGCGCTCGCGGGCTGTCTTGGCTGGGCTGGAGCCCGCCCTGGCGGTCTCTGGAGCCGAACGGGAACCCTTCCGAGCGGCCCTGGGGGCCCTGCACCCCCATGCGCCCCCGAGGTCCTTGGGCTCGGCCGGGGGACCTCGTCCCCCAGGATATATATATATATATATATATATTATATATAATATGATATATATATATATATATATATACTAGAACCACGCGCGCACTTCGCGCGCGCTTAGTTTCTAACGCATGCCCAGGCGCTATCAAACACTATCACGACACAGTGGGACCATGTCACGATGCCTCGTGGGGTGAACGCCTATCTACGTTACGTAGCTGCGCACGATGCTCAGAACGGCTGCTTCCACATCTAGCGTTACCGCATCATCTAGCATATCTTCTCTCCCGTCCTGCTCGGCATTTACACGGCATTTACACGGCGCACGCCGTTTCTGGAATCGTGAGGCCTTGGCCGCGGGCGCTCGCCGCGATCTTCATAAGCAGGATTATATCAGGAGCGTCGAGGCGACCTTTGCGCAGCGTTGGAATGACCTCACCGAGGCTGCTACACGAGAAGGCCCCGACGCAGTTGACACTATCATTCGCGACGTCTGCGTTGAGTGCGCTGTGCCTTTTTACACCGCCGTTGTCTGGAAACGGCCCTACTTATCTGATGCAGAGCAAGCGGCTATATTGCGGCGTCGGGAGGCCCGTGTTGCGGCGCAGCTGCCTATCGTTACTTGCTTCGGCGGCGTGTCATCGACCGATTCGCCAACGGGTGCACCATTGGATTTCCTAACGACCCCCTTTTGTTCGCTCTTGGCCACTCTCGGCGACAGGATTCCACTATTCATCCATGGCGCTGCTCTCGTACGCACTTGTCGGGGACTCTGCACTGCGCGCACGTTGACGACTATGCGGCGATTCGCCCTCTGCCAGATATGCCGCACCACGCGCCTTCTTCTCCGCGACGGGGCACGGCAACGGCGGGGCGATCTACGCGTTGAGTGTGAAGAGGCTTGGACCGAACGTCGCTTCGCTGATGCCTGGCGACTCTCGTACAAGTTAGCTGGACGTGGCGAGGGCCCTCGCAAGCGCCGATTTCGCCAGGTTGCAGGCTTCAAGGCGTCTTCTGCCGAGAAGCTCGCTCGGGTCTCCTTGCCGGCTCAGGAGGGTGGACTCACAGCCACGCCATTCGATTACGACGCCGAGCTCGCGAGGCGCTCGCGGACATTGAATTGGTCGTTTGACGATTGGAAGGATTTGGCAGTTCGTGATCTGGGGATGTTACGTCGCAAAGTTCGTCGAGTCCCTTATCGCCGGAGCGTGCCGCCATGGGGAATCTCGAACGATTTGCTGCGCATGCTCCTCTTTCCCAAACTCCGTGTACGTAGCCGCTTCGCTGGAGTGGGCATGCAGGTCGAGGATTTGGAGGCCCCTCACACTATGGACGCCTTCGCTCTTCTCTTGGCCAACGTGCGTTGCCGGCGCACTACACCGCTCCGTTGGCACGCTTCGTGGCTTGTCGAGATCCCGAAAAAGCAGGGTGCTACGGGTTGGGACGCCGTACGGGACCTGCACTTGTTTTGCGCCCTTCCTAGTGCGTACATGGCAGGTTTATGGGGACGAGGCTGCCACTCCACCAACAGGCCTTACGCGTCCGGTTTCGCTTTCAAGCGCCGCAGGGAGGAGGCCATCTGCGTGTCCACGTGCGTCGCCGCTCGGCTTCGGACGGCGGGGCGAGGAGTTAGCGAGATGTTTTTCCCGGAAAGGGCTCGAGCCCAGGGTTCTCTTTTAGTTGGTAAACTAGTCCCCCGGTGCCTGCTTGAAGGAGGCCGGCGAATTTTTTCCCTGATAAATAACGAGGTCGAAGGAGGCCGGCGAATTTTTCCCTGATAAATAACGAGCCCGCGAATTAAAATTTGAGGATGTCTCGAGCGAAACGCTTGTTTTTGAGCGCCCGCGAATTAAAATTTGAGGATGTCTCGAGCGAAACGCTTGTTTTTCAGAAAATGGTGAGGATGTCTCGAGCGAAACGCTTGTTTTGTGTTATAGATTGTCCTCTCCTGGGGACCTGAATTCTGAGGACCACCTCCCAGCACGACCACCCCCCCAGCACGACCACCCCCCAGCACGACCACCCCCCAGCACGACCACACCCCAGCACGACCACTCCCCAGCACGACCACACCCCAGCACGACCCCACCCCAGCACGACCCCACCCTAGCACGACCACACCCCAGCACGATCACACCCCAGAACGACCACACCCAGCACGACCCCACCCCAGCCCGACCCCACCCCCACGGCACGCAGCACACCCCAGCACGACCCCAGCAGGCCAGCACGACCCCACCCCAGCACGACCCACCCCGCGACCCACACCCAGCCGAACCACACCCCAGCACGACCTCACCACCAGCACGACCACACTCACTCCCCAGCAAGACCACACCCCAGCACGACCACACCCCAGCACGACCTCACCACAGCACGACCACACCCCAGCACGACCACGCCCCAGCACGACCACGCCCCAGCACGACCACAGCACACCACCCCCCAGCACGACCACCCCCCCAGCACGACCACACCCCAGAACGACCACACCCCAGCACGACCACACCCCAGCACGACCCCACCCCAGCACGACCCACCCCAGCACGACCACACCCCAGCACGACCACACCCCAGCACGACCCCACCCCAGCACGCCCCACCCCAGCAAGACCACACCCCAGCACGACCACACCCCAGCACGACCTCACCACAGCACGACCACTCCCCAGCACGATCACGCCCCAGCACGACCACGCCCCAGCACGACCACTCCCCAGCACGACCACCTCCCAGCACGACCACCCCCCCAGCACGACCACCCCCCAGCACGACCACCCCCCCAGCACGACCACACCCCAGCACGACCACACCCCAGCACGACCACACCCAGTCGCACCCCCGTGGAATGTTTCGTGGGGTGTCTCGTGGAATGTTTCGTGGGGTGTCTCGTGGAATGTTTCGTGGGGTGTCTCGTGGAATGTTTCGCGGGGTGTCTCGTGGAACGTTTCGCGAGGTGTCTCGTGGAATGTTTCGCGAGGTGTCTCGTGGGATGTTTCGCGGGGTGTCTCGTGGGATGTTTTGTGAGATGTCGCCCAGTTGGGTATCGTGAAAACGTGACCATGCTGCGCATGTCTATATCCCTTTCCGGGTTCGTGGGTCCATCATGTTTGATATGAAGAACGCGTTTTGCTGCCCGCACACTGAGGAGCTGCGTTTCTACCTGTACCGCGCCTTCGCCGACCAGCAGTTTGCTTGCACCATTTTCTCTGAGGAGCTGGATCTCGCGATCGTCCGCGTCGACACTAGCGACGGCATTTCCCAGTGGATTCGAATGGGCTCAGGTGTCCGCATGGGGCACCGCGCACGTCCTTCTTGGTTTATCGGCGTCATGCACGCGAAGGTCGACTCCTACTTGAGACTCCTGGGCGACGCACAGATCACAGCGACGCTGGACACGGACTCGCTCCGACTTGTAGGGGACGTTGGTACTTCCACATTCGCTGACGATGCCAAGACGACACTCCTCGCCGACACCTTTGAGAGTTCCGTCTTCGCTTGTCGACGGGCTTCGCAATTGCTTGACCAAGCTCTCATTTTCAAGCCGTGGGCCGACGCGGAGGCCCTGCCCTCCGTCGTGCAGCGCCGGGGCAAATGTGAGATCGTGGTTTCTTACCGCGGGGACGGCACGCGACGCCAACTTCAGCGCACGTACCAGTCAAAGGGTGTTTACACTGGCCGGGTTCTTCCGGTCGCTCGTCACCTCGGAGGCTGGCGCAATTTACGTTGTTCTTTCAATGACCTGCGAGTCCGCAACATGGAAGCCGCCAGGAAGAATTACGACCGGGTTACAAATTATTTTGGCGCGCGGCCGACGCTGACTTTGCGATTATTGTTTTCCGTGCAATGGTCATTGGTACTTCGATTTCGGGGGCTTGCTCTTACGTGCCTGCGCGCGCCGATCTCCACGCCATCGATGGCCTCTGGTGTCGCCTGGGACAGCGGGTTCTCCTTGCACGCCGGCCCGCCATTGTCCGCGGCCATCTTGTGGCGCCCAGCTATTCCGAGGTCAAGGCGTCCCTGAAGTTTGCCGACGCGTCCACTGAGCTACGTATTGGCCGGCTGCGCTGGTATCAGACTATGAGCAAATCTCCGTTGTTGTACCAGCAGTGGCTTCTGGCAGTCTTCGGGTGCATTGAGGGTGAACCTACTGTTGACGAGGCCAGCAGACTTCTTCCGACTGCTAATTTGTGGGCTCGGCAGGTTGTCGAGGACATTCGTGCTCTGACTATGTTCGACGATCACGCAGCTGTTGCGGAAGAGTGCTCCTCCTTCCCCCTCCGGGTCTTTCACGACCCTGATCTCGCTGCACTGTTCCAGGCGATCGATCTTCGAATCCTGCGCGCGGTGACGCTGACGACGATGGTTCCGCCGGCGGGCTCTAGGGGACCTGGGGGGGCCGATCTCGTTGCCGATCTGGCCGCCGACCCGATTTTCATATGCGAGTTGCCCGGCGAGAACGATGGCATATGCGGCATGCGATTTGCTTCCCGACGGGCGCTGCGGGCGCATCAGACGAGTTCGAGTCTCGATGGGCACGGCCAGATTTCTGCGGCGAGCACGGCCACGATCACGAATCAATGCTGTATCTGTCGACGTGTGTTCGCGTCTCGCCTGACGGCTCGATACCACCTCGCGGCTTCGATTGAGCGGAGCTATTGTGCCGGGGAGGGGAGCTCCTACATTACCGACGTCGTTGTTCCCGATTCGCTCTGTTGCCCCCTCTGCGACAGCGAACCTTTCGAGACCTTCGACCTCCTGCAAACGCACATCCGCAGTCACTTGGGCTCGATTCGTGCCTCGGCAGGGGCGCGCCGCGATCTGATTCCAGGGATGCAGCCTCTTCTTCAACGAGTGCTTGCCCGACACGGTGTACGAGACATTCCTGAAGGGCGCCTCCAAGCCGGAGGACAGGCAGGCCAAGCAGGCACGGCAGGACAGGGAGGAGCCGGAGCCAGGCGAGAAGCGCGACGAGCTGATCTTGCTCGCCCAGCTCGCGGCGGAGTCGCGGGCGCACGCGGCCAACCTCTTCCGCACGTTCCTCGTGCCGAGTCCGAACGGGGAGAAGTACTACGACGCGATGAAAGAGGCAATGGGGAACTACGAGAAGACCGTCCGCGGCCAGAAGGGGCACGGGCAGGGCATCCCGGCACACCATGCGACGGTGGCGGCCCTCCTCACGAAGAAGGACTCGCTGGACGCCGCCAGCGAGCAGTACGAGCTGATCGAGAAAGTTCTGACGGAGTTCGACGTCCCCAACAAGCTGGGCAAGCATATCCTGGAGTTCCGCGGGTACGAGACGAAGGAGCGCGGGCATCGCTTCCGCGTCAACGTGAACCCGACGGCGCCCGAGGACCTCCGCAAGGCGATCGACCTGATCATCAAGGACTGGGCTACCAAGGGGGAGGAGGTGTTCGGCCCGGCTCCACCGAGCAAGCGGGAGAGGCAGATCCAGGCCCGCATCCGCCGCCTGAAGTGAGTTCCAGCCGCGCTGGGGCGAGCAGATCAAGCTGAGTCCGTCGTAACGGTCGTTTTTGCCGTAACGGCGCCAGCGGTGCCGTGCTGTTGATCCCAGTGGCCAATTTTTCCCGGAAAGGGCTTAAGCCTAGGGTTCTCTTTTAGTATGTAAACATGTCCCCCGGTGCCTGCTTGAAGGAGGCCGGCGAATTTTTCCCGGAAAGGGCTCGAGCCCAGGGTTCTCTTTTAGTTGGTAAACTAGTCCCCCGGTGCCTGCTTGAAGGAGGCCGGCGAATTTTTTCCCTGATAAATAACGAGGTCGAAGGAGGCCGGCGAATTTTTCCCTGATAAATAACGAGCCCGCGAATTAAAATTTGAGGATGTCTCGAGCGAAACGCTTGTTTTTGAGCGCCCGCGAATTAAAATTTTAGGATGTCTCGAGCGAAACCCTGATAAAAAACGAGCCCGCGAATTAAAATTTGAGGATGTCTCGAGCGAAACGCTTGTTTTTGAGCGCCCGCGAATTAAAATTTGAGGATGTCTCGAGCGAAACGCTTGTTTTTCAGAAAATGGTGAGGATGACTCGAGCGAAACGCTTGTTTTGTGTTATAGATTGTCCTCTCCTGGGGACCTGAATTCTGAGGACCACCTCCCAGCACGACCACCCCCCCAGCACGACCACCCCCCAGCACGACCACCCCCCAGCACGACCACACCCCAGCACGACCACTCCCCAGCACGACCACACCCCAGCACGACCCCACCCCAGCACGACCACGCCCCAGCACGACCACACCCCAGCACGACCACACCCCAGCACGACCACACCCCAGCACGACCCCACCCCAGCACGACACCACCCCAGCACGACCATACCCCAGCACGACCACACCCCAGCACGACCCGACCCCAGCACGACCCTACCCCAGCAAGACCACACCCCAGCACGACCACACCCCAGCACGACCTCACCACAGCACGACCACACCCCAGCACACCCAGCACGATCCAAGCCCAACCTCCCCACGCACCAGCACGACCCACTCCCCAGCACGACCACTCTCCCAGCACGACCACCCCCCCAGCACGACCACCCCCCAGCACGACCACCCCCCAGCACGACCACACCCCAGCACGACCACTCCCCAGCACGACCACACCCCAGCACGACCCCACCCCAGCACGACCCCACCCTAGCACGAACACACCCCAGCACGATCACACCCCAGAACGACCACACCCCAGCACGACCCCACCCCAGCACGACCCCACCCCAGCACGACCACACCCCAGCACGACCACACCCCAGCAGGACCCCACCCCAGCACGACCCCACCCCAGCAAGACCACACCCCAGCACGACCACACCCCAGCACGACCGCACCACAGCACGACCACACCCCAGCACGACCACGCCCCAGCACGACCACGCCCCAGCACGACCACGCCCCAGCACGACCACCCCCCAGCACGACCACCCCCCCAGCACGACACCCCCCAGCACGACCACCCCCCAGCACGACCACACCCCAGCACGACCACTCCCCAGCACGACCACACCCCAGCACGACCACACCCCAGCACGACCACACCCAGTCGCACCCCCGGGGAATGTTCGTGGGGTGTCTCGTGGAAATGTTTGTGGGGTGTCTCGTGGAAGTTTCGTGGGGTGTCTCGTGGAATGTTTCACGGGGTGTCTCGTGGAATGTTTCGTGAGGTGTCTCGTGGGTTGTTTCGTGAGGTGTCTCCTGGGATGTTTCGCGGGGTGTCTCGTGGGATGTTTCGTGAGGTGTCGCCCAGTTGGTTATCGTGAAAACGTGACCATGCTGCACATGTCTATATCCCTTTCCGGGTTCGTGGGTCCATCATGTTTCTGATAAATAACGAGGTCGCGTAGGGCCGGCGAATTAAAAATTGAGGATGTCTCGAGCGAAACGCTTGTTTTTTCAGAAATTGTTGAGGATGTCTCGAGCGAAACGCTGGTTTTGCAGAGTTGGGGATGTCTCGAGCGAAACGCTTGGTTTCAGAATTTGTTGAGGATGTCTCGAGCGAAACGCTGTTTTTGCAGAGCCTGACGTCGTACTGTCCCCCCCCCCCCTGTCAAAAGCGACCCGCGCGAGGAATTTCGATGATGTTCGAATAACTTCCTTGTTTTTGTAACTCAAACGATTTCCTGGAATTTTGGCAGGATGTCTCGAGCGAAATGCACGACCCCACCCTAGCACGACCAGACCCCAGCACGACCACACCCCAGCACGACCATACCCCAGCACGACCCCACCCCAGCACGACCACACCCCAGCACGACCATACCCCAGCACGACCACACCCCAGCACGACCCGACCCCAGCACGACCCTACCCCAGCAAGACCACACCCCAGCACGACCACACCCCAGCACGACCTCACCACAGCACGACCACACACCAGCACGACCACGCCCCAGCACGACCACGCCCCAGCACGACCACGCCCCAGCACGACCACCCCCCAGCACGACCACCCCCCAGCACGACCACACCCCAGCACGACCACACCCCAGCACGACCACTCCCCAGCACGGGACCACTCCCCAGCACGGCCCACACCCCAGGCACGACCACACCCCAGCACGACCCCACCCCAGCACGACCAAACCCCAGCACGACCACACCCCAGCATTACCCCACCCCAGCACGACCCCACCCCAGCAAGACCATCACCCAGCACGACCTCACCCCAGCACGACCTCACCACAGCACGACCACACCCTAGCACGACCACGCCCCAGCACGACCACGCCCCAGCACGACCACGCCCAGCAAACACCCCCAGCACGACCACCCCCCAGCACGACCACCCCCCAGGCACGACCACCCACAGAACGACCACACCCCAGCACGACCACTCCCCAGCACGACCACACCGCCTTGGTTGAGTGGTTGCCTGTCGTCGTGGAATGTTTCGTGGGGTGTCTCGTGGAATGTTTCGCGGGGTGTCTCGTGGAATGTTTTGTGAGGTGTCTCGTGGAATGTTTCGTGAGGTGTCTCGTGGGATGTTTCGCGGGGTGTCTCGTGGGATGTTTCGTGAGATGTCGCCCAGTTGGGTATCGTGAAAACGTGACCATGCTGCACATGTCTTTATCCCTTTCCGGGTTCGTGGGTCCATCATGTTTGTTCCCAGGAAAGGCATGGGCCCAGGTTCTCTTTAGTAGGTAAACCTGTCCCCGGTGCCACTTGAGGGAGCTGGCAAAATTTTTTCCCTGATGGATAACGAGGTCGAAGGAGGCCGGCGAATTAAAATTTGAGGAGGTCTCGAGCGAAACGCTTGTTTTTGAAATCCCGATCGAATAATCACATGATCACGGGTGCGTGCCACTTTCACTTTAACAGGGCTTTAAGCCTAGGGTTTCTCTTTTGTAGTATGTAAACATGTCCCCCGGTGCCTGCTGAAGGAGGCCGCGCGAATTTTTCCCTGATAATAACGAGGTCGAAGGGGGCGGCGAATTAAAAATTGAGTGAAATCCGAGCGAAACCGCTTGTTTTCAGAATTTGCTGAGGATGTCTCAAGCGAAACGCTGGTTTTGCAGAGCCGACCGCGACGCGGAAAAGCGCCCCGCGCGAAGGAATTTCTATGATGTCTCGACTAATTCGTTTGTTTTTGTACGATTTCCTGGAATTTTGGCAGGATGTCTCGAGCGAAATGCACGACCCCACCCTAGAACGACCATACCCCAGCACGACCACACCCCAGCACGACCAGACCCCAGCACGACCCCACCCCAGCACGACCCCACCCCAGCACGACCATACCCCAGCACGACCACACCCCAGCACGACCCGACCCCAGCACGACCCTACCCCAGCAAGACCACACCCCAGCACGACCACACCCCAGCACGACCACACCACAGCACGACCACACCCCAG